AGTGCGGAAGAGCGCGTCAATGTCCACTAGTGAATGAAAGCTAAAGGTCATGAGATTTCCTCCGATTATGTTCGTACAGGTCTGGCACGCGCGCTGCTCGGTCGATACACAGTCCTTTTTCTTTTTTTTTTCTTTTTTTGAACCAATATCGGTGTTATCATCGGAGACAGATAACTTGCCGAACATCACTGTGCACAGGAATATAAATCGACTTGTTTGTAACCGTCTTTTTTTCTTTTCTTTAGAAATTCAATCCCAGTAACATAAACAAGGTTGATCCTAACCAAAGTCTCCGATAAACCGACACACTTGAACAGACCACTACGAATCCTCTGTTCTCTCATTGAAATATTAACTCGCTTTTCTATCTATTTTAATGTTCCTTTAGTCGTGAGTAACAAGTCTTATTCATTCATTAGATTAAAAGCTCGCGACTGCACCTCGCCTTCCACACCAATGTCATCTTCTTTTTTTTTATCTGTTTTCCTTCTGGCTCTATATTTTCATATTGCATTGTAGGTATCTTTCCGCAATAAAGACGAGCGAAGTAAGTTTTCCACGGTCAACTTACGGCTGAAACAAGATCGCACGCGACCGCATGCACACACCAGTCGGAGAGTGTATCATTTGAACCGGACACTGCGAAACGCATCGAAGTCTCGAGAAGGGATCCTTGGAAACAATCGGTTCGTTGTTGCATCGCGTACACGGACATTATCCTTGCCCCAGCCGGGAACAAGCATCGCAATCGGGGACGGACATTTTGTTGTTCGGAAAATGTAAGCGGCACGCGGTGACACGGTTCGACTTTATCTCGGCGACTTCTTGACCCTTCGCGTACGATATCGCGCGACAGCCGCCAGCAGCAATTGCCGAAGAAAGCATCTCGGGCTCGAAATATCCGTGGCAGCGTGGCCCTCCCAATGCGGGCCGTGAATTTAGAGAGACACAAAGCGCAGCGATTTTTCCTCGACTCGTCGCGCGCTCGCCTGTTTTTCTTCTCGCTCTGAATTTCATTCGGCGGACGTGTCTGTCGACCCTGTGACGCAATATTTGCGCATCGAATTGTGGCCAGACGAACCGGCCGCGGAAAAATCGTCCGCTATTGTGCCGCTCGAGTTTCTCTGTTTCATCCAGATACGTTTTTCTTTCTTCGTCATCATGATCGTTCAGTTTTCTCTAATGTCTCGAGCTCTTTAAGATGCTTCTCCGTTTGGTACAGTAACAGTGTTACCGATATTTATGTCGTTTGCATATAGACGTTACTTCGTCGTTTCTTTGTCACGTCTCCCGGTGATACAATCGCCAAGAGAAGTTGGCTAAATAACCTCTGCTTTTTAAAGTGGAACGAGAGGATTCGCTCAGCGATTTTCGGTAGAGCAAAATCGGCTTTTGTTGGCCCGGGGAACGTCTACCCCTCCCAGTTTCCCGGAATTCCATCATCCACCCACAATTTGCGCATCGTTGCCTAATAAGTTGACGAGCTATTTCGCGAGCGTCCAGAGGGAGAACCGGCATTAACAGAAATTAGCGTTAATTGGTCTGCCCCCCTCGCCGTCTCTTCCTTCCCTCTACTCCCCCGCAACCGATCTCCCGCATCTTCCCCTTTTCTGCAATTCCCTTCGTCCCTCTCTCGATCTTTTTCCGCTTTCGCTTGTCCCCCCTCCGCGTTTCTCGTCTCGATCCCCCTCTCACCCGTCGGTGTCTGCTGCTGCTCGACGGAGGGGATCGCGCGATTTTAATGAAACTTTACGGAAATTTGCGAACTCCACGCTACATAGACTTTTATCAATAAACCCTATGTTTCGTTCAACAATCTGCAAACTCAAATTCCATTCGTGAACCTTAATTTAGCCACAGGCAAGCGAAGTCGTAAATTTACTTCGTTGAAAGTCAATTCGTCGGAACAGAAAATTCAAAGCTCTCTATTTTTCTTCAATTTTAAGATTTCTCCGATTACAAGCTATGAACAGAAAGTTTCATTGAATCGCGCGATCTTGCGAGGGAGAGCAGGAGTGGCTGTCTGGTGTAAACGCGTTCGGTTGACGGTGCCGTCGGAGTTTTTCGTCGGAGCAGCGAAAAAATCGGTCGCCGAAAACGGACGAACGTGCAAGCTGTGCGGCAGAAGTCTCCGCTAATCCGCATCGACTTAACGCGGCTTTGCATTTTAACAGGGTACACTGTCGCTTCGCTCACAACTGCGGTGACACGCCGAACGATCCGGACGAAGTTTCTCGTTCCCGTGCGTTCGAGGTTCGACGCAGAAGTTCTTTTCGAACGCGGCTCTTCAGGGTTGGCTAAAAAGCGACGCGATCCGGCACGATGAATAGCGTCATTCGCCTGGAAGAGAAGAGCGAAAGAGGTACCGGGGTCAGAGAAATCAAAGATTCGATTGTAGCTTCGCTCTCCTCCCTTCGTATCTAGAACGCGCGCGTTTCCGCGGCCGATATGATTGGACGTCAATCTTTATCTGTCCTTCATTTCCCCGGTTAAATTTTCTAACGACACAGAACTGGAACAACGAAAATTGAATAATGTTAAAATCGATATCTTTGGTTCAAAGATCCTTAGTATCCCATGAAGAGGGGTGAACAATTCCGAAGGTGAAAGGTATTAGGCGACCGGGACAGGTTGAGAACCGCTGAACCAGGGTAATGCAAATTACATCACGCTTGCGTTTATCGGCGGTCACCGGTTAACAGGTTAATGATCGTTCATCGGTGCTCCATCGAATCCGAGATTCGACCGGGTGTTGACTCGCATGATCAATTTGTTCTTCCGTTTTGCAGCGCGCCGCCGGATAGGAGGAGGCTAGGCGTGCATAGAGTTTATCGGCTGGTAACGACACCAAGGACAGGCGACGTTAACAGGGATTGTCAACAGTGAAGCCGGGAAGAGAAGAGACACGAACATTCGGTCCAGATGCGCGCTCGCGCGTCGAAATCATCCGGACAGATGCAACAGGTTTCATCGAGGGGCGGCTCTCTCTCTCTTTCTCTCTCCGCGTTCAGCTCGAAATTTCTCGGAGACAGAGAGACAGAAAGAGGAAGGGAGTTCGCAGAGGAAGAAAGAACGGAGGAGCTAACGCAGTGGGCGACTTTAATGACTCGTCGAGGTCGCTTCAATGAGTGCCACTGTGTGTCATCGCGTCATTATTGCGTGTATATATGTAGACACATATGTAGCGCACGGTACTCTAGCTAATAATTATACAGTGTATCTTACCATTGGCACCGGTATCGTGACACGTTGCTTTTTACGCTGCCCCGGGGATTTTTGTTTTTTCATTGTACCCGACCGTGCTACGGATCTCCGCTTGACCGTGCATACGAAACGACGTTGATTATGATTCTTTTCAAATGCGAACGCGTCTTTGAGAGATCGAAGGGGACCGAATAACAGCGGTGGCGTTAAAAACAATTAAAAAGGATCCGAACGACACGGTATTGAGTACACGCGAGTACAATGAAGCATGCAGGAACGAGATTTCTGATTCTCGGTTGAGCAACCGCTAATTAAATAATTATTTCGAAGAACATTTTCCGAACGAGAGTCCGGCAACGAGTAATCCTTATCTGGTAAATAGGCTAACTTAATTGACTTAAGACTTCTGTTCGTTTCGTTGAACGATTACGGTGCACGCAGCCAATGCGTCACGCAATATCTACGGGGCTACGGTATTCTTGAGTCGATTATCTAATCTCGCGACGAATTATAGCGAAACCGTGGGCAACTTACATTAGGGTTTCCCCCGGTCTCGCCTAATCGTCTATTAATCGCCGTATCCGGGCGTATTTCGGACGTGCTGCCACTGTGTAGTAGCTACTGTCCTCTAGCCAGCCGCTATCCTCTGTATTTGACCAATTGTTTTTCTGACCCAAGAGCGTTTCGCGATCCCTGCACGTACTGAGAACCACTTCCGCTGCCAACAAGGGCCCTCATTATACGTCAAAGAGAATGGGCTCTGTGTAGCAGCGCTGAAGTACTCCCCAATCGATACTTCTTTCTTTGAAGAAGATATGAAACGCGATGTTTTCTTTATCGGCGGATGGAAACGTTAGTCGAGGAAAGACTGATCACCTAGTCGTTCGTATTCTACGATATTTTGCATTTTTCTCTTTGTTTTTTGTATGGTGATTGTCTATCCGAATGAAACTACGCTGTACTCGCATTGATGAGGCAGGGTCGTTATCAGGCTGTTTCCAGATTTCGATTCGGATCAACTGAAATAATTACCCAATCAATAAAAGAGTGTAACAGTCACCTGGCGGTTAAGTAACAATGTATAATAATGTGCGATCTTTTTTAATAGGGGTCGTGGATCGAGGCGCTATCGAAGGTGAAGTTCGACGAGCAAGAGGATCACAGCTAGATACAGAAAAAAATCCCATCCCGTTCCTAAGTACTAGTGCCGCAGGAGTGGTTAGATTTGGCTAGGATTTGCCACATCTCCTGCTGCCCAAGTGCTTATCAATGGGTCGGGACGCGCAACTGCGTTCTAGCAATGACACTTTCAAAGCACTACTCAAACTATGAAGAATGGTCGACCAACCGTGTGCATCAATTTGTTATTAAATTGTAGTGTGATGTAGTACTTGTAATTGTGGCAATGCGACGAAATAAATAATACAAAAATAAAGAGAGGATAGAACGCTGAAAGTATTTTTCGTTTTTACTGTAAAAGGAATTTAAAAAAAATAAGGGTTGGAGGAGCTGGGATTTGAACCCAGGACTTTCAGCATGCGAAGCAGACACTCTACCACTGAGTTACACCCCCATCTTGCTTATCCTTCTTTCAAATACATTTATAAGGTTGTGTAGAGGGCATGGGATTTTTTGTAATTGAAAGGAATGAAAAAAAATTGTTCTTGGAGGAGCTGGGATTTGAACCCAGGACTTTCAGCATGCGAAGCAGACACTCTACCACTGAGTTACACCCCCGGTTGCTTAGTTGGTTTTCAATGTTCATTATCTTCGTATACGTAATTCTAGGTATAAAAAAAGACCATGAAAAACATACTTTCAATTCGATTAATGCAACTTATTTACATAAACAAATAATACTTGACGCACATCGTAGTTTCTCAAATCGAAACTACGTAATCAAAAGCAGCTTTTACACGGTATTTAAAGATCGAAATTGGAAATAAGGAGAAATCTTATCATCATTTAAATTTCCGAAAAATTTATCGACGCTCAGAGGTATTTTCTTTGATTCTGATATTTGTGGAATAGACTATCAACATGAGAATTTGCATAAACATCCGGAGTCTAGAAATAACATTTCGAAAGTGTCCAAGCCCGCCTTCAAAATATAACAAGTCGAAAAGTGGGGAGGGAAGAGGGTAGGGGTTAACAGATTCGGATACATTTCAAAACCCCCCGACAGGGGTTAAAATGTTGTCAACCTCCATGATACCTTTATGGGTATAACTTGCGTGATATGTTTGCTGTTTCACCCCTATCTATACGGCCGTGTTATTGTTGTTTAAAGTGGATAGATAGAAACGGAGGGCATAGATCAAACCTTACGACAAACAACGTGTAGAACCCGAGAGTGCATTTTGGTACGTGTCGCATAAGAAAAAGGAATAGATGAGACAGAACGGGACGCGACGTTGAAACTTGCGCATTATAGTCTGGCGCTTTAGTCGCTTTGCCAATCGTGCAAGTTAGACACTAGAGATAAGTGCGGTTCTACCAGGTTCTGCTACCGATGTCGCAACGGCACAATCTAACCTCCTGAAAAAAACTAGCAGCGTCCTGATCGAGGTAACTGTCAGTTCACGGTACGTCATCGTAAAGCGCCTCGATTAAGGTTATTTTCTTTATAGCCGACTCGTGATTAGTTCGTCAACCGATAAGGTTCGTTCTGCGCTTGTTAATATTTCATAACCGATCACCTACGATTTGTTTAACTGTTTTTCACTTTCAGCAAATCCACGTACGCGACACATGGCTAACAGATCGCTGCTAGATGGTAAATCATAATAAATTCGAACACCACGAAGCCAAGGATAAGAATAGTGTCTCAATCGAAGAATTGGAACGGTATTCGCCACGGCTTTCACAGAGATGGTTGGATTGGCGGGCGGGGGAGGTCATCTGTATCCCTCGCCCCCAATGCAACCTAATCCAGAATGTAAGTTCTGATAACATTATTTTTTTTCTGAGTACTTAGAATGGGCATATTTGCTCAGTGTATCACCAATGCATGACTATTACACATTACAAACACTTTTGTGCAGTGAGAGAAATGACCGGAATTGCTCCTAGTGCTCCGACTAGTGCAGATGCTTGTTTAAGCATAGTGCATTCATTAATGTGTCATCGTCAAGGTGGTGAAAGTGAAGGTTTCAGTAAAAGAGCTATTGAATCTTTAGTTAAAAAGCTTAAAGTGAGTATTGTTTTATAAATCGGTTGGTTGCAGCTAGAAATTCCGTTAACAATGCATTGGTCAAACCAATATTTTTATTAGGAAAAACGGGATGAATTGGATAGCTTAATAACTGCTATCACTACTAATGGAGCACATCCCAGTAAATGTGTTACAATACAGAGAACTCTTGATGGTAGATTACAAGTTGCCGGTCGTAAGGGTTTCCCGCATGTCATTTATGCACGAATCTGGAGATGGCCAGATTTACACAAGAACGAATTAAAACATGTCAAATACTGCCAGTTTGCTTTTGACTTAAAGTGTGATTCTGTATGTGTAAATCCATATCACTATGAGCGGGTTGTGTCTCCTGGCATAGGTATGTCAAAGAAATATATTTCTCATTTGTTTTACTTTAGAGAGATCGTTTGCTTCGATTGAACTTTCCATTATTGCCATTATTTCTTTGCAAAGCTTCTCTGAATTCATTTGTAGCACCATAAGTGTAAATGATTTATTGTTGTGGCCTTGGTGTATGATGGAATGGGTTGGTTTCCCCCGCACAGACCCGTTCTTTACAGACCTGTCTGGACTGACACTGCAGTCAGGAGTAGGCGTAGGACCAGGTGGTAGACTGGTCAAAGATGAGTACTCTGTCGGTGGTGGAGGAACAGCAGCAGCTGGAGCAGTAGGGACCGCAATGGACGTTGACGGAGAAATGAATCAAACCATTCAACATCATCCCCCTGCTCAACCTACTTCATCTAATAACACTCAACCATCTCAGCAGACTTTTATACCAGGCCTAGCACCGCCTAATCCAAGTAAGTAAAGTACTTTAAATTTTTATCAATAATACCTGTTCTTCATTGTGGATATTTTGTATCTTAATGATAACATATTGTGCATTAAAGTAGTGTGTATTTCTGATACTCACTAGTAATTTTGATAGACTGGGGCTTCTAAATTGAAGATGTCAGTCTTGTCATTTTCTAATTTCCCTATACTATTCTGAGAATTTTTTGTTTGTAAATGTGTTTCTATATACAGGGTGTGCTGACTTATTGAAAAATAAAGCATGTTTATATGTTTGTAAGCAACTATCAAATAAATGCACTAAAGTATACAAATGAACAAAGCTTTGTTATTGCAACTGTAGAGTAGAAGGTGGTTTCATTTGTTTGTGGTCAATTTTTTTTCTCATTACTGTTGCTTTATCTAGTATTATTTTGCGTTGCTAGTTCTATTTGATTTTAGCTTTATTCTTTCTTTTCTCTTTTGTTGTTTGGCACAGCTAGTGGTGAGGGTATGTTTGGCAGTAATGGGGGAGGGAATAATGCTGGTAACCCCCACAATAAAATGGACGACAATAATTGCCCCAGGCAAACCTGGATTCCTACACCTCATCATTCTACAACACGTAATATTCATCATCGTACGTATATAATAGAATGCTTCATTATATACTTACTATTTTCTGTCTCCTGCTGATTAGTTTTTTTTCTTTTTGCTTTTTGCTGGTTTTGTAAACATTTGCAATAGTTTCTAGAATTATTTTATGTAATTATTTCAGAAACTCTGGACAAAGTTTGTGTATAATTGACATTTTATGTTATGTTGCCTGTATTGTGTACGAGTTACATTTGATTTTGCAGCAGTAGTACATCCAATGAGTCACACCGTAGGTAGCCAACAGCAGTCATTGAGTACATCTAGTGGAGGAAATGGCACCCAAATGCTCAGTCCCTCGCAAGGACAGCCCACAGAAGCTTTTTATGGAACTAACACACCACCTCAAGACCTTAATCAGCCACCAAACGTTGATGCGTTAACGGCATCTTTAGGTACGCCATACTACCCAAAATTTACTTTCTATGCTTGCTTGAATTCATTCTCCAATTTGACATTGTAACAGGAGAAGGCCAGAACTCTCCTGTATCACCTGTACATATTCATCATCCAAATGGATTTCCAGTGGGTACAGCTGCTTACAATTCGGGAGCACCACAGTGGACTGGAGCCAATACTCTCACGTATACTCAGAGCATGCAACCTCCAGATCACAGACATCTCCATCCTACTTCTTATTGTAAGTCAATGATACATACATTGCTTTGTTATGTTACCAGTATTGTAACTTATATTCTTATTAGGGGGTGGTCATGGAGGCGATGTAGGAGGTAATATTGGTGGTTTACTTTCCACCCAACCAGCACCTGAATATTGGTGTTCTGTCGGCTATTTTGAATTAGATACTCAAGTAGGTGAAACGTTCAAAGTAAGCAGTAGTTGCCCTACCGTCACGGTCGACGGATATGTAGATCCAAGCGGCGGTAATAGATTTTGTTTAGGAGCATTGAGTAATGTACACAGAACAGAACAAAGTGAGAAAGCACGTCTTCACATAGGTATATCCACTTACATTCTATTTCTTAATTCTGGTTAAAACGGTTATCTGCTACACTATCAAAAATTTTCCAGGAAAAGGAGTCGTGTTGGATTTGAGGGGTGAAGGAGACGTTTGGTTAAGATGCCAAAGCGAACATAGTGTTTTTGTACAATCTTATTATTTAGACAGAGAAGCAGGTCGCGCACCTGGTGACGCGGTACATAAAATTTATCCCTCCGCATATATTAAAGTCTTCGATTTACGACAATGTCACAAACAAATGAGAGGACAAGCCGCTACTGCTCAAGCTGCTGCCGCGGCGCAAGCTGCTGCTGTTGCAGGGCACTTAACACATGGAGCACCGATTACTAAAAGTTTGTACAATATTCTTTCGATCAGGTAAACAAAATTTTATAAAAAATGTTTATAACTAACCGATTTGCTTTATCATTTGATTTAGGTCTTAGTGCAGCAGCTGGCATAGGCGTAGATGATCTCCGACGACTCTGTATTTTGCGTTTAAGTTTTGTGAAAGGTTGGGGTCCTGATTATCCTCGGCAAAGTATAAAAGAAACTCCATGCTGGATAGAGGTATGGACAAATTACTTACCATAATATTTTGTACTTGAAAGTTGCGAAAACACAAACACATTTCTCTGATACAGGTACATTTACATAGAGCCCTTCAGTTACTAGACGAAGTTTTACACACCATGCCAATAGATGGTCCTCGGGGAATTGAATAATTTTATTTGCCTCTGAATAATACATGCGATATAAAAAAAAAAGACATCACATTGCTGCAAACTCTGCATCAAGTGTGCAAAATGTATAAAATGCATACATGTATGATATACTGTGCGGTATCTTTGGGAAAAAAATCAACGCAAGATGTTGATTCCAACGAAAACAGTGCGAATTTCAATACAAAACGAAATATTGAATCGCATTGGAACGTTTACTGAAGTTTTTTATATATTTTACACACATGATTTGTCGCGTAGGATGAAATGTGTGCCACGGCCTTGCATTACCGTCAACGTACAAACGTTATGCAAAGGAAATATTATTTTTCTTTATGAAAAGTTATTTTTTAAGAAGAAGGAAGTGCATCTACAAGAAGAAATAAAGGTAGGATGAAAGACTTCTATTTTAATAGGCAGTCGGTGTCCGATTTAAGAGAAAAAAAATACATTTTCCATGGCATGGCCTGGTGAGCTCAGCAAAGTGCGTGAGTAAAACGTGATACTTTC